TTTCATAGGAGGCGGGCAATACCCCCACTTTGTGGGGGGGCCGGTTCAAGCTCTACCAAATTTCCAAACGACTCTTCGCCACCACCCACACCCAGCTTCCCGCCCTATGACGTTCGGACACTTCACTTCGTGGCATGCGGACGACCGTGGCTACTATTCAGGGCCCCGCGGCCGACGACGACGGCGTGCGCGCGCGAAGAAAAAACGAATGTGTCCCGCATGGTATTATTTGACAGGGATGATGGCCCTGGCAGGTGCGCAACCGTTGTTGCAGAAGTTCGAAAAAGTTGCTCGCAAAAGCCCGTTTGACAGAAATGTTTAAAAAGTGTTGGGTTTCCTACGAATCCGCAAGAGCGCGCGGGATGAAATTTTGACACTTTAAAAAAAAAAAAAAAAAAAAAAAAAAAAAAAAAAAAAAAAAAAAAAAATGGGTTTTTTGATATTTTTATGTTAAAATCGCTACGAAAACTAAGGTTTTGGAAGGATTTCGTCTTGCGCGCGCGAATGTCCACTTTACCTTATTTTTTGCAAGGGATTCTTGAAGTTTGGTTATGTTAGAACAAGAAATGTCCACTTTAGCTTATTTTTTGCAAGGGAAAACGGGGGACAACAAAACAACCGGATCCGGACACCCACGTTTTGCCTGAGACTTCCTCACGAAAATGATGAAAATGTGGCTGCGGCCTAGGCGCGGCGAGGGGGCCGCGCACCAGGGGCCCCAACAATAATTTTTCTCTAGAATAAATAATGTTCAACAACAACAACAACAACAACAACAACAACAACAACAAACAACAACAATCATTTAAGACTGGGGACACGCCGTTCTCACCAGTGCCAGGGTTTTCATAGGAGGCGGGCAATACCCCCACTTTGTGGGGGGGCCGGTTCAAGCTCTACCAAATTTCCAAACGACTCTTCGCCACCACCCACACCCAGCTTCCCGCCCTATGACGTTCGGACACTTCACTTCGTGGCATGCGGACGACCGTGGCTACTATTCAGGGCCCCGCGGCCGACGACGACGGCGTGCGCGCGCGAAGAAAAAACGAATGTGTCCCGCATGGTATTATTTGACAGGGATGATGGCCCTGGCAGGTGCGCAACCGTTGTCGCAGAAGTTCGAAAAAGTTGCTCGCAAAAGCCCGTTTGACAGAAATGTTTAAAAAGTATTGGGTTTCCTACGAATCCGCAAGAGCGCGCGGGATGAGATTTTCACAATTTTTTGGTGAAAAACCATAGGTTTTTTGATGTTTTTATGTTAAAATCGCTGCGAACACTAAGGTTTTGGAAGGATTTCGTCTTGCGCGCGCGAATGTCCACTTTACCTTATTTTTTGCAAGGGATTCTTGAAATTTGATTATATTAGAACAAGAAATGTCATTTTATAGTGTTTTTTGCAAGGGACAGCGGGGGGGAACAAAACAACCGGATCTTGATGACATCGTATTACCTGAGGCTTCCTCACGAAAATGATGAAAATGTAGCTGCGGCCTAGGCGCGGCGGGGGGGTCGCGCACCAGGGGGCCCAACAATAATTATTCTTTAGAATAAATAATGTTCAACAACAATTACTAGCACGTGGGGACACACCGTTCTCACCAGTGCCAGGGTTTTCATAGGAGGCGGGCAATACCCCCACTTTGTGGGGGGGCCGGTTCAAGCTCTACCAAATTTCCAAACGACTCTTCGCCACCACCCACACCCAGCTTCCCGCCCTATGACGTTCGGACACTTCACTTCGTGGCATGCGGACGACCGTGGCTACTATTCAGGGCCCCGCGGCCGACGACGACGGCGTGCGCGCGCGAAGAAAAAACGAATGTGTCCCGCATGGTATTATTTGACAGGGATGATGGCCCTGGCAGGTGCGCAACCGTTGTTGCAGAAGTTCGAAAAAGTTGCTCGCAAAAGCCCGTTTGACAGAAATGTTTAAAAAGTGTTGGGTTTCCTACGAATCCGCAAGAGCGCGCGGGATGAAATGTTGACAATTTTTTGTTTGAAAAACCATTGGTTTTTTGATGTTTTTATGTTAAAATCGCTACGAAAACTAAGGTTTTGGAAGGATTTCGTCTTGCGCGCGCGAATGTCCACTTTACCTTATTTTTTGCAAGGGATTCTTGAAGTTTGGTTATGTTAGAACAAGAAATGTCCACTTTAGCTTATTTTTTGCAAGGGAAAACCGATCGTAACAACACAACCGGATCCGGACCAACCCGTTTTGCCTGAGACTTCCTCACGAAAATGATGAAAATGAGGCTGCGGCCTAGGCGCGGCGGGGGGGTCGCGCACCAGGGGTCCCAACAATAATTATTCTTTCGAAGTAATAATGTTCAACAACAACAGTAACATCCACATCAACATCAACATCGACATTGGCATCAGCAACATCATTGTCATCATGGCCCAGGCGGCCTGGGTAACACAGTGCCTGGCTACTTGAGATCCTCGGGTGTCGCGCGCCTCGGTGCCCCCCCCTCTTTTCGCCATCGCTGTGGCCTCCCCTCGCCTTCGCGGCCCTTCGCGCCTCAGCAGCCCTCATATCCTGGCCTCGCTGCTACTTACAGTAGGGGCCGGACCACAAGAAACCGTCCACAAGAAACCCAGCCCTGAGACCCCAAGACGTCCGCCGACGATTGGTGTGGGGACGTCACGCCGCTCCACAGCAGAACCACCAAGTCTCAAGAAACCCAGGGCACACTGGAGGCAGGCAGGGTGTTTCTTGGCATGGGCCTCCACTGTACGCCTCTCGTCAGGGAACGCTCCCGGTCGGCGAACCTCGCACGCTCTGGCCCGCAGAGTGCTCAGGGGCCGGGTCGACCCGGGTGGGTGCGGCGAGAGATCCCTCCGCGGGGGGCGGGACTCGGCCAGGCACGGCACCCTCCGGGGCCCACAGGCGGGGAGACTCGGATCTGGGTCGTCCAAGCATAAGGGCTGGACTTACACGTTGCTCCCCGTGTTGTGATCGTTTGGTTCTTCGTCTTGCTCTGCCTGTCTTCCTACAGCTCTCCTTCGCCTTCTGGGTCTTCGCCCCCGGTCCCTGTCCGCGGCGTACCTTCTCTTGTGCAAGCTCTTCGGCACCGCCTGCACCCCGGGCTGCGCCTGCTCCGGCCGCCTGAGGCCCCGCTTTCCTCTGCCTTGTCTCCCTGATTAAAGCTGTGCGTAGCCCGCCTGGCTTTTAGCGGAGGAGGTTCGTTCTCGCCCCGCAGACCAAAACTGTCTTCCGGCACCTCCCTCCCAGGAAGAAAAACCGAACGCCGCCGAGGTCCGGCAAGACAGCGCTTGGGTCCAGCCCTGCTCCCCTGCTGCCCCCGCCTCCTCTTAAGTCGGGCCTGTCCCCCTACAGGGGGATTTTCGACGAAAAATAAAAAATACCCCAAAAATAATCAAAAAATAGTCCAAGCATTGTCTGGGGACTATTTTTTAAATTCTTTTTTACCTTTTTGGGTTTTCTTTGTATTTCTTAATTTTGGTCGAAAATCCCCCTGTAGGGGGACACGCCCGACATAAGCCTCCTCCCCAGATCCGCTGCCGTGCGCCACGAGGCACGGGTAGGAGTGTCCTCACGCCCCCTCGAGCGCGCTGGGCCCTACGCTTGTGGATGCCATGGCAATGGACACTCTACCAATCCGATCGTTGAAGTACAGATGTGCTCAAAATGTCGGAAAAATGTTCTGAACATGTTTCAAACCTGCTTTCTTCATGCTTAAAACATGTTTAGCACATGTCGTGGACATCTGGAAATTATTTCGCAACACGCCTCCTCTCCACTGATCGACTTTTCCACAACCCTACGTGTATTGCCAGCACTCCTCGAGGGCCCTTGGGCCAAAGACTGCCCCATGTTCCCACAACATCTTTGGGCGCTCCTTGCCGCTCCTGGGAGCCCGCGCGCGTCTTGCTGCTCCCGAGGCCGTGGTTGCGGGCTCACGCCGCCGACGTGCCCTGCGATGGCCCCACAATGGCCCGCCCTGGGCCTCTCCTGGGGGGGGGGGGGGGCGGCCTGTTGGGCCGTGCCGGAGGCCCTCGGGGCCGGCCATTTCGCCCAACGTCTGCCAAAAAATGCATGGCTTTGTGTGCTCTCCGAACGCTCGCTTACAGTCGACCCGCTCAGGAAGGATGAGCAACTTCCCCTCGCATCCTTCCCCTTCGGCCCATCCTGCGCGGCGTTCGCTGGCCAACCTCGTTCGAACAACGTGGCCATGGCCCTTCAAGGCCCCTCCGTCCTCACCGCGCATCCTTAATCACACGCGTCGACTGTACTGGGTCTTTCGACCGTCCAGGACGGCCAAAGGAGCGCCAGGACTGCCCCAGAACGGAGCCCGAGGCCCCGTCGGGTGGCCCAAGCAGGCCGAGCTCGAACCGACATGTGGAGGCCTCCACCCCACGACGGACCCACCGACCGCCGGCGGACCTGCAAGAGGCCCAGGGCCCCCAGGAGACCCCAGGCAGCCCCCAAGAGGCCCCCTGGCGGACCCAAACGGGGCCCCCCGCGAGGTCCCCCAGAGGCCCCTAAGGAGGCCCCCGAAGCTGCCACGAGATGCCTCCCCAGAGGCATCCCAAGGGGCATCGAGGAGGCCTCTCGTCCCCGACCAGGGCACGACGGCGGGATGGGCCAACGGCCGATGGAGGGCCCATCCTCGGCCTTCCCCCAGCGGCTTCCCGAACAGCTCGGGCCACACGCGGTCCGCTGGCAGCAGCACCGTACTCACGCCCGGCATCCCACCGGGCGAGGGCCTGCAGATTGCAGGGGGGCGGCGGTGCTCCGAGGGATGCGCCTCGGACGCCTCCCTACGTCTCGCTCTGGAGGCCGCCCAGGTCGAGCTCCAGAAGATGGGGTCGGAGAATCGCGCCGCATCGCCGACGCATCGGCGACGTCGGCGTGGAGAAGATCGGGCTCCACATCGAGCCGCACCTCCGATGCATCGGCGATGCGGCGCGATCCACTGACACCGTCCGTACGTCGACCCCCGCCTCCTTACAACTGGGGCGGGCGGGGCCTCCCGCTCAGCCGCTTGCTGACAGCGGCCTCGAACAGCGGGACGAGGACCTGAGGGGGAGGTCTCGGCTCCTCCTCCTCCTCCTCCTCCTCCTCCTCCTCCTCCTCCTCCTCCTCCTCCTCCTCCTCCTCCTCCTCCTCCTCCTCCTCCTCCTCCTCATCCTCCTCCTCCTCCTCCTCCTCCTCCTCCTCATCCTCCTCCTCCTCCTCCTCCTCCTCCTCCTCCTCCTCCTCCTCCTCCTCCTCCTCCTCCTCCTCCTCCTCCTCCTCCTCCTCCTCCTCCTCCTCACAACAACTTCCTCCTCCCCCGGGGGGAGGCGGAGGGGCTGAAGGGGCCCCTCAGGCCCGAAGCCTGCAGGGTCGCTCGGGGGCCCTTACAGACTCTGAGAGGCGCCATGGAAGCCCCGCTTCAAAGCTCTTCCCAGACATGCGACGCCCTGACTTTTTCCCATACGCGGTCCCTAGAAGTGTCCCGACCCTCTCCCTGGGACCGGCTCTTCATCCCGAATCGGTCTTTGTCAAGGGGCCCAAGGACACACAAACAAATACACACAAATCCTAGGATTTCCCGTATTTTTCCATATTTTCTGGATTTAATTTTCCCCCCAGTTCCCATAGTTTCCCATATTTTCCTGGCGATCGCCGAGTAATCGTGTCTGTATGTTTTTTCCTCCTGAC